AGGTGAACAGCTTCGCCCAGGGCGTCGTGGCGATGCTGAGAGACAAGCGGCTCCCGACCAACTGGGGCAAGACGAAAGTGCTGGCATCCTCAGTGGACATCCAGCGCGAGCTGATGAAGCAGGAGGGGTGGCCGCTGGACAGGGCCGCCTTTGCTCAAGGACACCGAGATCTCGGTGGTGACGCGACGGCTGGTGGTCACCGTATGGTGGCGACGCAGGTCAAGCGGGAGCTGGATGCACTCCGTCAGGCAGCGAGACTGACACGCATCTTCGGGCCTGGGCTGCGGCAAGCTCGGGTGATGCGAGCTGGGCCGACCGCCAAGGCGCTCTGGGGCTCGGCCATCGCTGGAGTCCCACCGGGGCGCATGAGGGCGCTGAGGGTGGCAGCTGCGAAGAGCGCGGGTCGCCTGCCGCCTGGAGCGGCCCTCAGCTTTGCCCTGCAGTGTGCGCCCCGCGGCTGGCGGCAGGACCCGCTGGTGGTCGCAGCGGGAATGGCAGTTCAGGCATTCGTCAACGTGGTGTGGTCTGGGCAAGCCTCTGCATCAGCCATCGAAGCGTGCATCCAGGAAAGCCAGCAGGTGCTAAGCAAACAGAGGCCTTGGAGCTCGGTCCGTCAGCCGATAGCGGCGCTCACGCTCACTCTGCAGAGGATAGGCTGGCAGCTCGCCGTCGACGGCACCAAGTTGCTGGACGAGGACAAGAGGGAGTTCGAGGTGCTACATTTCTCGCCCGCGTTCCTGGCGGAGTGGGCCAGAGAGGCCACGAGAAAAGCGGCCGCGCTGGAGGAGGCTCGAGATCGTCCTGGATCGCTCTGGCCATGGAAGCTGCCGCCACAGTGGAGGCCAGTCAACGAGCTGCTCGGCAAGAAGGAGACGGAGACCTGGACTGGGCACCACAAAGGGTGCCTCCGCTGGCTCGTCTCGCTCTCGCACTGGCCCCAGGACCGTCTTGCGAGGCGCTCCTCGGACATCGACCCGATCTGCAAGCTATGCCAGGCTGCACGAGGAACGATGTTCCACAGGAACCACGTCTGCCCAGCTGGGGAACCTTGGCGGCGCGACAGGCTGCCGTCCGACCTGAAGAGTGCAGCTTGGTTAGTCCACGAGATGGGCCCGCCGTTCGATGAGCTTTTCTGCCAGGGCCTGTTCGTGGATCCCTCCCTGCTGTTGCACCGTCCGTGCTGGCAGCCTCGATGGGGGCGGCTCTCGCATGGTTGGCATGAAGCAGTTGTGGTCGAAGACGGTGCCATGCCGACGTTCGGATGCAACTCCTGGGAGGTCAAATTCTGATCTAGCCCTGGTCCGAAATCCCGCTGAATCCGGCTGAATCCCGCTTAATCCCGCTTAATCTGGCTTAATCCCGGTTAATCCCGCTTAATCCGGCTCAATCCCGCTTGATCCGAGGCCCATTCTGGCTTAACAGCCCCCCCATGGGGCTTAATCCTCCTTAATCCTTCCGACGAAAACCTCCCAGTAGTTGCCTGCTAACCGACGGCTCCTGTATCCTCGGTGACTTTCCGCGCCTGCGCAGCGCTGGCTGGTCGGTCGTCGTGTTGTCCAAGGAAGGGGCGATCCTAGCAGAGGCGTGGGGAGCTGTTCCCCCTAGTCTATGCCCATCGCAGACGGCGCGTGCTGGGGAAGACTACGCAGCGGTGGTGGCGCTCACGGAGGTCATTGGCAATTACCAGCTGCTGATCGACTGCAAGGGCACAGTGGACTCGGCGCTCAACCTTGGCAGAGCTCAGGGCCCAACTTCGACCTACGCCCATCTTTGGGCCAGAGTTGGGGACGCCGCGGAAGGTGTCGAAGTCAAGCACATTCCTGCACATCGGTCAGAAGCAGCTGTGGCCAGAGGGGAGCTATCGGCTATCGAGCTCTTCGGCAACCGCCTAGCCGACAAGCGAGCGAAGGAAGGAGCCGCCCTCCACGCCCTTCCAGCCGACGATGTCCAGCTCCTGGAGGGCTGCTTAGCCAGGGCTCGTGACGCAGCTCGCTTCGCCGCAGAGATCGAGGTCTTCATCGCGGATTCGGGGATGCGAGACTGCTGGCCGACGGAAGCCCTGGACAACGTCAACCTCCAGCCGTACCTCTACCCGTGGAACCTGTGGTACGAGGACGAGGACTACGACTTGTTGGACGCCTCCACGGCGCAGAGTGGCAGAGGCTCGGCAGCTGCGTCAGCGGCAGCCTTCGCCGCGGCGGCAGCGACCAGCGCAGCGGCCACAGGTGCTGCGGCAGGCGCCGCGGGCGGCGCAGCGGGGCCTGTTCGCAAGCGCCCAGCGGCTGCGCTGAGGGCCGCCTCCGCCCCAGCCGCCCCCATCGCCGCGGGGCCAGGCGAGGAGGGCATTTCTCGTGCTGAGGCAGCGAGCGAGGTGTTTGCCAGAGCGGTTCGGCGCAGGGCGGAGGCCAGGTCGTCCGCAGAGTCCTCTCAGCGCACCCAGCTAGAGGAGCAACGCCCGCCACCTGCCCCCACGGCTGGACCAGAGCCATGGGTTGTGCACGGCCACGACATAATGCAGACCAACGTGGTGAGCAAGCCGAGCGAGGCCATCCTGGTGTGCACGCGCTGCTTCATGTACTGCCACCAGCCGCGGTATGCGCACAGGGGCCTGGCCAAGCCGTGCGTCGGTGGCGATCACAGATCGAGCCAAGGGTCGCGTGCTCAGGCCAGGACTGACTTCGGCAGATTGCGATTGCCAGGCAAGGAGAAGCCGCCGGTCGTGATGCTCAAGTCGCCGACGTTGGAGGAGATGCAGCGCTGGCGAAGGTCGCTCAAGGTGGACGACCTCGACTGGCCCAACCCCCAGGTGGGCGAGTTCCTGGCGGCGGCGCGGGCTGGCGGCCCTGGAGGCTCGCCAAGGCCTGCGGCTGCACAGCCTGCGGCGGGGCGTGCTGCTGGCGCGGCTGGGCCTGCGGGCGGAGCGGCGGCGGCTTCGGCGAGCGCCTCGGCTGCCGCGGGCGCGGCGGCGGTGCAGCCCGCGGGGCGCGCGGGATTGCAGGAGCTCTTCGTGCCCGACCTGGAGGGCGTCCTCCGCGCGCACGGCTTCGCGTCGGCGGACGACGCCCGCGCCCGAGGGCGAGAGGCAGCCCAAGCGCGCGGGGAGCGTGACCGCGCGCGGGAGCGCGGCGCGGCGGCCCCGCGAGCGGCGAGGAGGCGGGGCCGACGCTGGTGAGCGCCCCCCCTCGGCCGCCGTGGGGCCCTCGGCAGTCCCGCGCCGTTTGCGCGGGCCTGCGGCCTGCCCGAGAATTTGTGGCATGACCACGCGGGTGCTCGCGCCCGCTCGAAGAGTAAAAAAAATGCCATCACCGTATCGCTGCGCGATCATGCAGGGCCTCCAGAGTCTCTTCCTCCTCTTCTCTCCCCGTCCCTCCCCTTTCTGTGGACAAGGTTTGTGCCCTCTGAGAAGCAGCTTCCTTCTAAGAAGCGGTCTACCCCCTTGTGCGCGCCGCCAATCAATACCATCTCCCTCTGGTTCTCGGGCATCTTGCTGTGCTGCTCCAGCATTGAGCTCTGCAGGATAATAGTTATGATTGTCCAATCCTCACGTGGAACTCTTTCAGGAATTTGTCCGTGAGTGTAAAGACGCTTGGCGATCGGGCAGGTAAATGGGCCCGCGCAAGCATGTTTGATCATGTGCACCAGGCTCATATGTACCCTCATCCCTGCGAGACGACATTCTGTGAGATCAGGTCCGATCCGACGCAAGTTCCGACCGATTCGATTTCGCGAGTCGATGCTGGCTGCTCCTGCAATCGTCAGGGCCCATCCGCTGTTCGGTACAGTGGAGACCCATGCCAAGACACACCCTGCTTGCCTTCAAGGTGCCCCGGGGTTCTTGGGTTTCGAGGGTTTTGCTCCGGAAGGCGTGACGTCCCTACACCAAACACATAATGGACGTCCTGGTGTCTCAGGGCTGGGTTTCTCGTGGTGGACGGTTTCTTGTGGACGGGCCTCACGAAGAGCACCCGCGCGTTGCACACCGATGCGCAAAGGCAACCTCCGGCGATCCCTCTCGGCGATCGGAAAAAAAAGGGGAGCAGTGGGAGGAGACAGGCTAGAGGTTCGAGGCGTTCTTGCGTGTTCGTAGGCTCTCGGCTGCTTTCCAGCCTCGGGATCCTCTCCAGCAGCCGGGCCCCGCCGAGAGCGTTTCGGGGGTGCCCGGATCGCCTCGGACGGCCGTCAGAGATCCGAGTTATGACCCGAAAGCCACGGGGGCAACGTTAGGGGCCGGTGTGTCTGGTCGTCGGCTCAGTACTCGAGTAGGGGATCGACTGCGGAATTGATTTGCCCCAGAATCGATTTGTTCGCCGAATCCCTGAAATATGCGTAGGCTGCTCATAGGTCTACAGACATTCTGCGTATGACTCGACGAGGACGTCTATTTTTGGGGGAAAAAGATTCTGTAGACGATCCCCTGCTCGAAGTACGTCTCCAGGGTACCGTCAGAGGGCTCCAAGATCCAAGGCGGCCCAAGAGGGCCTCAAGGAACGCCTGGGGCGGTCGACGCGAGCTCAAGAGCTCCCACATTCTGTCCAGGAGGGCGGCTGGGGGGGCCGAAGATTGCCAAATAGGGCCCAAAGGTGTTGCCATGGCAGCCCTGGAGAGGCCTCAAATGGCACGAACGTGTCAACCTTGTCTGAAGAGGTTCCAACCGCCGTCCTCCGCTGCAGAGGAAGACCATGGGCGGGGAGGCTGTGGCGGCGAGACTGTGGCTAGGCTATGGTATGGAGAGTGCTTGGTTCTGCAGCGCGGCCGCCACCCTCCAGCAGCGTCGATGTCCCCCATCCCCCTACAGAAGCTGAGCGAATGGCAGAAGCCTGGGAGGCGAGCCAGAGGCCCGCGCGGCCCGCGGAGCGGGTGAGGTCGGGAGAGAAGCGTGCGAGGAGGTGGGAGCCTGGGGGAGCTTGATGCGACCATCCGCATTTGACGCTACCTCTGCCTCGGCTTGCTCTGGACAGGTCTCTCGCCTCCGGCTGGGCCTGCAGCGCCCCGCGCCCGAGGTCATCGACCTGGACTTCCGCGACAACGACGGGGACGCCCCGCGCGCCCCGCACTGGCCACCTCAGCATGCCGTTCGAAGGGCAAAGAACTCCACGAACACAAAACATCTCCGAGACCCGCGTGGATTGCTCGGATCGGCACGGACCTCCAACAGTTGATGCTCATGTCGTGCTGTTTCCTTCAGTCAAGGCAGCGGCCGACTCAGGAGAGCCATGCCTGGGCATCCCAGACTGTCTGATGTCCGCCCCTCGCCCTTTCCCGCCCCATCTCTAGCCGCGTGCCCTCCCGGACCCTGGCGCATCGATCGGAAAGGTATCGCGTCACGATGTTCGCAGCGCGGGTCCGACCGCGAGACCTCAGGCCTGCACCTCTCCCTGAGGCGACCGTGCGATTCGACCGGATCGACCCTGCACGTTGAGTGACCCGTCAGCGCCGCGGGCGCATTGGTGGACAGCGCGGCCCCTCAGGATACCCCGCTCAGTGTCGCCGTCAGCGCGGGCAACGTGGAGGCGATCAGGCTCTTGGTGGGCAGCGCCGTCACGCTTGGCCGCGGCCCTTGTCGCGCCTTGGTGGACCGCCTTGGTCTGCACAGACAGGGCAAGACGTGTTTCCAAGCTGTCAGCAGAGTTGGTTCTCGGAAGCGGTGCGAAGGGGTGGTGGTGGTGGCGCGTGCCGTCTCAATCCACAAGGGGCGTGAAGGTCTTCTTGCTTCGCTCGTGGAGACACGGGATGACGTGGCTTGTCTGACGGATCTTCTGTGGAACTCACGTCATCCTGACCCCTCTGCGCGCGAGAAGCTCGCCTCCCAGCGCACCTCCAGGGACCATTTCTGGTGATGCGCTGGGCGCGCCAGGCGCAGCGGGCGTGTCCTCATCCAGCGCGTCGCTTGAGACATCCTCGCAAAATCGCCCCACGGGCCCCCAGCGCACCCCCACCTTGAGGTTCCAAATTCGATCTATAGTGCGGACTATAAGGTGGTTTCTTTTTTCTGTGCGGGTCGAGCTATTTTCTTTGGCGCGGAAGATAATTCGATCCGCCATCTTAGGGCTTCAGCATCAGTAGTGGCGCATCCCCAACTGGGAGGGGCCCAGCATCTCTGGGTCAGCAGTCATGAGTGACAACGGTAGACACGGAAGCGTTAGTTGCAGAGCAAAGGCAAGATCGGCTGGTCGCAGAATTTGGGGTTGCATGCCACCGAAAACGCCCTCATTGACCTCATTTGGCCCCGCCTTCGACCAAATGCAGCTACAGTTCCACCGAAATGCTCGTCCCGATAGTTCCAGTGCTTCGCTGGCTCACCGCCGCCTATGCACAGCCCCAAAAACATATGCGGTCTAGGCTTAGCTTTGAACTGAACAGGAAGGGCGTTTTGCAAAGCGGCCGCTTGTGTGGCAAACTTCGTTGCGCGCTCGCGAGGGGTATTCACAGCAAGCGGGCCATTGTCTGAGAGCGCTTCGCTACACTGATTTATTCTTCCCATCGTTGCTTGAATGGACGATTCTACAACGGCCCGCTGGTCGGCGCCACTCTTTCGATCAAGGAAAGTTTCCGCAATCTCCATTGCCCATGAGACCCTGTGCCTGAGCATCCCCGCGCCGCACCTCATCTTAACCGTTTTTGCGCTGCCAGGTTCAAATCGCTCGTCAGGGCATGTGCAAGCAATTAAAGCAAACAGTTCACCGCAAGTCCCCCAGAAGTTACGGAACATATGGGGAATCCTGGGAGTTGTATCTGTATAAATGTATAGATATAGATATAGATATGTGTGTGTGTGTGTCCCTCGGCCTTTTTCATCCTGCTGTTTTTGGCCCACCGTGGCAAGCATGATTCCTGTCAGAACCAGCTGCCACTGAGCTGCGCTCCCCTTTCCGAGCTCGGTGACACCGCCCCGGGAGGCTGCCGCTGCACTGTCGCCACCATGCCAGCGCGTTGCCGCTGGACTGCGCTCTTCACGGCTGGCTGCCGCTGGTAATCCCGCCCCGCTCGTCGCCCGTGGATTGCACCCCTCACGTGTTGTTGTTGCCGCTGGACCGCTTGCAAACGCTCGGCTCCGCCACTGGACCCGCCCGGACCGATACCCCCGCTCTGTGCACCAAAGCTTCCGTGGCTATCGCGGTCAGGGTGCTCGAGCTTGGTCGCCGCGAAGTGGCTCTGCTGCTCGCAATTGGGTGTTGTCGGAGCTTGTGGCGGCCTGGGCGTCGGCACAGCTCGAATGGTAACAGTGGCCACTTTGAAGGATGACTGCGAGGTCTAGACTGACATACTGGTCCAAACAGGCGCCGCCCATCTCATCGGCGTCTACTTCTCGTCCCGTGACTTCTGACTCGGCACGCATGTCCGATGGTAATGGCGGTGGTGCCTTCCTCGTATTCCTCCTTCCCCTCTTCGCTTCTCCTCTCCTCTCATCACCCCCCCCCTTCCCCATCCTCCCCCCATCAAACCCCACGTCCTCATCATGTCACCCTGCCGCTGCGAATCTCGCGGGTGTCGTGACGCCCTCACTGAATCCCTCCAGTTGTAGCTACACCTCCTTTTGAGCGCCTCTCTCCATTCCCATTCCAGCTGTGTAACCGTTAATGTGAGCCTTCGTGTTACGTTATAGTTGTTAACAGAGTCCGTGCCCTTTCTGCGCAACTTTCTCGTCGCGTACGTGACCCTCCGCCGCCGTTGTGTTCTCATGGCGTTAGGCCCATGGAGGGCGCTGAGCATATTCGAATGGAGGCGGAACGGGAGCGCCACGGAAGTGGAACAAACGTAGCACGAAAGCAGACGCTTCAGCGTAACGCGAGCTCCCACGAACGGCTGCACAGTTCCAGCATTGTCTTCTGCATCCCCGTCCTCAACTTCCCGCCTGATCTCTGGGGTCACTTAAGGGACGGGGGGATCGGGGCGTGGCCGCGGCGGGGGCCGAGTCAGGCTGGCTCAGCCCCGTTGCCGCCGCGGCCGTCCGCGCCTGCGGCTCCTCCATCATTCTCCTCTTCCTCCTCCTCCTCCCCCTCCTGCCGCCGGTCGGCCATGGAGGCATGGGTGAATGCCGCGGAACTGGCGGGGCGCGTGTACGACTACGCATCGGTCGCCGCGTCTCGGGCGGCCACGGCCTGGACGTCGGCGTCAGGCGGATGCCGTGGGGCCATCGCGCACGCCGCCGCCGAGTGCGGAGGCTGGCAGTCGCCGACGGTGCAGTACACCCCGGGGTTCGGGCCGCTGGCCTTGGCCTGGGGGTCGTCCCTCGTTGGGGTCCTCTGCGGGCTCATGCTCGGGCTATGCTTCGAGCAGGCGCTGCGCCGGGCCACCGAGTTGGCGGCCGCCTGCAGCCGCGTGGTCAGCGCGGTCGGCGCGGCCGGCGCAGCTGGGCCTCCAGGGTTGCCTGTGATGCCGCCGTGGCACCAGGCGGTCCGCGCCGAGCTCGCTGGGACGGCCCCAGGCCCCCGGCGCGTCATCTTGCAGCGGCTCAACGACGACGGCGACTCGGCGCTGGACCTGCTGGCGGCCGCCGGCGGCGTCACGCGGCGCGACGCGCTGACGAGGGTGCTGCCTGCCGGCACGGTCGCGGCGCACGCGGCGGCTTGGGGCCTGTCGTGCTTTGCCGGGCCTGCCCAGCAATGGGTCGCCAGGCAGCGGCTCTGGCAACCGTCCCCGCCAGGCCGTTGGGGCTGCGGGGCGCACCGCCGGGCGCGCTCCGCGGGCGCGGCCGCGCGCCCGCCCGCCTCTGGGTTGCCAGACCAAGCTGCCAGCAACCGCCCGCAGGGGGCCTGGCGGAGCCCCAGGCCTCTCCTCGGCCCCGCGTGAGGCGCCTGCCCTGAGGATCTCGGCCTGCCCTGAGGATCTCGGAGTCCTGCTATCGTCCTCCGCGGGCGGCGGGACACCTTGGAAGGGGAAGTGTGCCTTGGAAGGGGAGGTGGCGCCCCGCGCTGGGGGGGCCCTGGGTGGCGGCAGCAGCGGGGAAGATGGAGCCCCAGGTCCCCCTTTGGCCCCGCGTGAGGCGCCTGCCCTGAAGATCTCGGCCTGCCCTGAGGATCTCGGCGCCCTGCCCCCGTCGGCCGCCTCCACGGGCGGCGGGGCGCCTTGGGAAGGGAAGTGCGCCTTGGAAGGGGAGGTGGCGCCCTGCCGCGCGGGGCCGCCAGGCAGGGCGCCGGGCGCTCCGCGGGCGCCGCCGCGCAGCCGCCCGCCGCTGGGCGAGGGCGCCGCCACCAGAGCGGCGCCTGGCGCCGACGCTCCCAGAGGCGTCCTGGCGCCCCGCCTGGGCTGCCTGGGGCGCTTCCAGAGGCGGCGCCGCGGCCGCTGGGGCGGCCGGCGAGGCTGCCGCCGAGGCTGCTGGGCGCGCCGTCGTGCCCGCCGGGGCGGCCGGGGCGGCCGCCGCCAGGCTCGCCGGGCGCGCGGGCGCCGCCGGGGAGGGGGCCGCCCGGAGCGCCTCCGGGGCCGAGTCCGGCCCCCCCGCCGAGGGCGCCGCCGAGCCCGCCGCCGACGCCCCCAACCAGGGGGCGGCCAGCTCGTGCGGGGCGTCCCCGCTCGAGCGCGGGCTGGCCGAGTTCGGCCGGGACTCGGCCAATGGCTGCGCGGTGGCGTTGGGCCTGCGACGCCCCCCTGGCCGGCTGCTGGAACCCATTCGCGGGTGTGCGGGTCGGCGAGGCCGCTCATCCAGGGCCCGTCCCGGACGCCGAGCTCTTGGAGGCCCAATGGTGGCTGTGGGTTTCGCCGCAGGGCCCGTGGAACTGGCCCGAGCGGCCTTGGGCTTCGCCGAGGAGCCAGCGGGGGCCGTTCTGGGCTTCGCCACCCCCCCCAGTGGGCACGAGGAGGGAGAGGAGGACGAGGCGCGCGCGCCCGGCGAAGCGGCCCCTCCGCGCAGGCGCGACCCGGGAACGCCCCTTGGCGGCGAGCGGCCAGCCCCGCCAGCCGATGCAGCGCGCGCGGCGCCGGATCCTGGAGGCGATGGCGCAGCGACCCCCGTGGCGCCGCTGCTCCCGCCTGCCGGAGGCCCCGGTGGAGCGCCCGCTGCTGACGCGGAAGCGCCGCCCCCGCGTGTTGGCGAGGGCATCCCGCCTCCGCCCGCCCCAGCGTTGACGTGCCCGCTCTGCAGCAGCTTCCGGGCGCGGAGTGCTGCTCGGAGGTTGATGCGGCACTTCTTTGCGCGCCATCTCGGCCAGGAGTTGGGGGACTTTGGGGTCACGACGCCCCAAGGTCTCAGCCGCGGGGTCTGCCAGGCACGCCGCGGGCTCCGTCCGCTTGGGCCCCGGCCCTGCCATCATTGCGGCGCGGTTGGGCCCCCGAGTCTGAAAGATACGCAGGAGTAAGCTTGAGCAGCAGCAGTCTCCCGCCCGTCTGCCCTGTCCGTTCCACCGCCACCCTCGGCTCAAGGCGAGGGAGGGCGGGACTCTTTCTGACAGAGCCTGGCTGTGCCAGGCAGACCGCGCAGCCGACTGCGCGGCCGTTCATATCGTGGACAAAAGGTGTTCACTGACAATTATCACGATAATCCCACCAGCCCTTTAGGGCGTAGGTGGTTTAGGGAGTTTCCTCTGCCAACCCCCTTCTTCCCCTTCGGGGAG